CTTTGTTAACAACATCACTTTGCTTTGACTAAATCCAATCTGGGTAAGCAGGCGATCAAAACTTGAAATACACTTGGTTCAAATTATAGTTTACGCCCCCAAACGCCGTATTAGCTGTTATATATTAACATTAGATTAAAAGATTCTCTTTATTCTTTATTTATTTATTTATTTGCTCTGTCATTATAGCCTTTCTACTGTTGCCTATTGAGAGGTTGGGAAGACTAATGATTTAAGATATTTATAAATTCATCAAAGCGGCAAAACCTACTTTTTAAATAAAACTCCCATAAACCACACAACTGTACCATAATCTCAAAAAACGTTCTAATTCTTTAATATTTACAACTCCAAACTTAAATGGAGAATTTTGCTAGACTCCAAACATTATTTTGCTCCAAAAAGCCCCAAAATGAATTAAAGAATTTATGAACGCCCTTATGAACATTTATTTAGTTCATTTAAGCGCCCAAATTATTCACAGGACACAAATTAGTAATTAAATCTATGTTTGATACAGGCAGATGCCAACATTAGTGAGTCATCCTTTTAGATAGCTTATAAGTAATAGAATCGTCCAACGAAAGCTCAGCACGTTTTCACCCGAAATGTGGGAGGAAGACTCGTGGACTGCGTCAACATGAATATAATATAAAAGCTGAACAGCTGCAGTACAACGATTTTCATCCGTCCTCATCTGGTAAGATCGACAAACGAATCTCTTTTTCATGTACTTTCATTCGAAATGAAGGTCCCCCTAACAAAGTTATCTCAGGAGACTCATCGAAACCAAGTTTCTCTTCGTATCTAGAACATACTGTAATCAAAATAGTTTATGAACAGATGTTGTAAGGATAAATTAAATAAAATCCATCAATATGTTGTTCCGGTTTTGTAATTTCAATACAATGTGGCTTTACCTACTTTCATTAGAGGTTGCAAGAAATAGATCAAATCATGTGTAAAATTAAAGTTAATGTATCAAACTCGACCTTGCCGCCATGGTGAACCCCTAACAGCGGAAGCTGCATCAATTGTTGCACGAGGAATCTTCTGTGCTGCTCTGTCCATTTTTCTGAAATTCGAATTAAAACAAAAAAAAGGTTACATTTTTTATGATTCTGCTTCAAGCCATATTTTGTATATGGCAATTTTAATGCTATGGTATTCTCCTAACAGGGGTGGTTTCCATTTAAAGGTATCATTAAAAAATTAAAAAAACCGAGCTATCCTTGGATTTAGTGAGGATACTACTTGTGGTCACGGGAAAGAGATGACCTGTCAAATTGTAGGTTGATTTCGCATTACGAGTTCTAAAAGACAAATTCCCATTGATGACTTGCATTTTGATAAATTGTAATTATGTCCTAACAGTGGCGTCTCTCGCTGACAATGAGGACTACGATGCCGACGAAACTTCTGGGAATATACTAAGTCAATGATCCAATGATGGAAACCATCATGAATATTATAGGGGAGGACTCAGGAGTAGGTATGTTTTGCAAGGTCTCCAAATTGCCCCGACGAAATTGCGAAAATGAGGTCAATTCTATACAGCTAAAAGAGGATGCGACCATATATATATATACAGATAACTTCCCAGACAATTAAGAACACATCAATTTTCATTTAATATGATAATCTTAAAAATTTGAGGGTAAAAGTAAACAAATCAACCGCATGAAAATACAATTTGACGAAAATATTTAAAGCAGAATAAATATCTTGTTCAGCCATTGGAGGTGTGGGATAAGAAAAGGAAGGGTTGTTTCAGTTTGTGTGAGGTGAAATACTCATACGTCCTTAACAAAAATCGCTTGGATACTATTGCAAATATTTGAAAATTAGTGCAAAAGCTGGCCCCAAAGCATTTTGTTGCCAACAGGTGGTCAAATAGCTATCAACCACATTTGGCAGAGGAGTAATTTAGGCTTATTGAGTTCCAATAAAAAAAGACCACCCCAAAGCCTCTAAATAGAAGAGAAATAGCATATGATCAGGTAAATCCACTTTAAGCAGATCCGATAGGAAAGATAACAAATCGCGAATACGGAGATTTTATGGGGGGTATAAATCTTGCCATATATAAAGTAAAGAATATTTTAACCTTGTTTTTGCAACTCGGTCATATTGGTAGGAAGACTTAGAGGAACGCACCTAGTCCGGAGTCCATTGTATGCATGATCATTTCAAAAGTCTGATCGTCGACATGGTACATTCTCAGACGTTGTGCCGACATTGTAGTCGGCATCGTCAGTGAGTCTTGCCAGTCTTAGCACCACACTACAACTCGTCAAAGAGACAAGCGAAGTCGATCCTTTGGCCAATTATCTGCTAAACAATCGTGATATATCTCATTCCGTTCTGGGATAATCACCAATTCCATATTCTCGTGTCACACCTTCACTATTAACATTTTTACTTGCTTATTTAAATTTGGTATGGTATGCCCTTTTGAGCGGCTTTCATAAGAACTCTTCATAACCCACGCTGGATTTCTCACCATCTCACCCCCCTCACTCTTGTGCTGGGAATATTGATCAGAGTCTGTCATATTGTTGTGTATCCCTCCTTCCATAGGTCTTATCAGAGTCTCACTCTCGCCATAGTCTCTTGTATGACAACCCACAAATGTTGTGATTCAACACTGAACCTAATCAAGGCAAGCAGTACCACAAAATTTGTGGGTTCGCCCACAAGAGACCAGGGCATAGGAAGTCATAGACCTGGTATTAGGGAAAGAACCAGGATAGACGCGGCGGAGACTAGAGCTAGTGGGCTAACAGTCGGCCTGATTTACCATAGATATGGTCCATGAAGCAAAGGCCTGACCATGACAATTACTCATGTACTTTGGCCTCGAGTTAGTCTACCAGACGCAGTGTGGGAAATAATGCCTCGAGTAGCAGAGATGAAGTGGTAGGGGTCAAGTAAAATACTTGAACCAGGGAGATAGCAGACGGATCCCACTGGGAAAGAGGGAGACTCTGATAAGACCTATGGAAGGAGGACTGCATAACAATATTGCAGACTCTTATCAACATTCCCAGCACAAGATTGAGGGGGTGTGAAGGTGTGAGAAAGCCAGCGTGGAGTATGAAGAGTTCTCATGAAAGCCTCTCAAAAGGGCACACCATAACACATTTAAATAGGCAAGTAAAAAATAGGGATAGTGAAGGCGTGATACGAAGATATAGGAGAGGTGAATAGCCCATGACAGAAGGAGAGATACTACAACTGTTTAGCCCACATTTGTCTCTTTGACGAGTTGTAGTTTAGTGCTAAGACTGGCAAGACTCACTGATGATGCCACCTACGATGTCGGCGAAACTTCTGGGAATGTACAACGCTCACGGTCCGACTCTGGAAATTAGCATTCATACAATGGAGTCCGGACTATGTGCGTTCCTCTAAGTCTTCCTACCAATATGACCAAGTTGCGAAAACTAGGTCAAACAACCTCTATACAACGAGAGGAGACTGCTACCACACAAAGGATCACATTATCTTGATCTTCATACCTTCGATTAAGGAATACTTTGTCCATTTGTTAAAACTCGAGTGAAATTTATTGCTATTAAGATAGATCATATATTCTCTACTATGCTTTGAAAAATAAATATCTATCTCGACTTATTCACGAGAACGGTTTGCCTAACGATTACGATAGTAGATCAAAAAGTTTAATGACGCGTTGCCTTGAGACATTTTTATAAAGAACGCGCTAAAAAATAAACTAATAAAAGATTCACTTTTCACCTTGAAGCCACAATTTGAATGGCAGAAGGAGCAGTGGTCTCTGGCTGCCTCTGCTGTGTCTGTTGCCCGGATGTCATTAAAATACGCACGCCCCCGGGTGGTATATGAGTAAGCCTACCACCGCCTCGGACAAGATGACTGTCTGAGCGGATTTGTGGTCTGGGCATAGGGGGCAGGAATTCTTGAACTGCATTGCGGACTTTGGCTCTCTTCTCCTGCTGTATTTGCGTCGAAATCTCAGGCTTCCATTCCATCGCACGCAATTCCAACTGAAGAATACAGAAGAATATGGAAGAAATGTGTCGATGAAGGGTAAATACAATGGAAGTAGTAATAAGTTTATCACTATAATCACTTTCGAGTCACATTTAAATAAGAGCCTCATTAAAGCAAGCTTACTATGATCGGGAATGAAGAATATCCAAAACATCAAATTAAAATGCTATTTTATCTTGAAAAATGTGGCAATTTTAGTCATCCATCTCAGAGTCGAATACTTTCTCTTTTGTCATGATGTCGTAGGACAACAAAATGTTCTCGCCTCAATGGGCAAGCACAAAAGAAAATTTATTTATTCTTTTAAGCTGATTACTTAAGTAGAATAATGCACTGACTGACTAGATAATAATAATAATATATTTTACTCTTAATACATCACTTCCACAGAACCAAATAGGAGTGCCCAAAAATGAAGAATGTATTGTGCTTAAATGGCTGTCTCCACCTCATACATATTTGGACTGTATAAAAGAGTAAATTAGGATTGTACCATTTTTAATACCCAAGCCTACCGTTGTCAACCGCCTCAGTACATTAAACCTATCCTCTGCACCAGCCAGTGTGCGCTCGAAAGCCTCGTGAGCGCCGAGCAGTCGCAAAGTTTCAGCCAAAGAATCTCCTAGTTGGCGACGTTGGGCCGCTAGTTGAGCTTCTCTGCTACGAAGCCAGTCAAAACAGGCAGAGGCATCTCTTGAGAACTGGCGCACCTCAAGAAGCAAGTGAAGACGATCCCATCTCTCACGCCATAATTCATTCAATAGGAGGCGGCCAGTAGCTAGTTGAACACATCGCTCTCGGACTTCGCCTCTAGGCCCAGCCGTTATGCTTGACTCTCTTGATGTTGGGTCTAGTGATATATATAAAATTTACCAATAGAGTGCGCATAAAATTGGGTCTAAATTGGACTAATACTAACATGAACCGAACATAAATGATGAATATAGAAATCGAAGCGTAGATTCAAAGGAGGCAATATTTGAGTACTTGGATTCAGGTATAATTTATATCTCTCTACCTAATGGAAGGCAAGGACAAAAAAGCACTGTTACTTTTTGGCGCCTAGTTAAATGCAAACACAAAGCCTTTCGGAATATGGAAAATTCCCCATTTAATTCTTATGCTATGAGAAAGCTAGCAATAAATAAATACATTGGGGAGTGCCTCAAATGATAATAAAAGTGAATCCTATTTGTCCTCTTCTCTGTTTGGCCTTTACTTGAGTTCATTTGCATTAACTGACAAAATTCGTTGTATCGCTTCGAAAGATACACTTCCTCGACTCACAGTGTATTACTAGCTATTTTTGGGACAAAATCGCTCCCTTTTACGAGTTGTCCTTTATAAAGCTGTTGACATGCAAAATATTATTTATAAGGATGGATTCTAGATATTTCCCTGCTGAGACTAGATTGCGCTAGAGGCTGGCTTAGAAAATTACCTATAAAACATCAAAGGAGCATTAGAGAATAAAAACGCAACTGTTCTGCTCATCATTGTGGTTGGTGCAGATATGGCGACGAACCATCCCTTCTTATTACTCATAATTGTTTCAAACTCAAGGAAGAGGATTCCAACACAACACTTGAACTCGTTCACGCCTATTACAATTAAGAACCTCTCGCAGACAATCCAGGCACTAAGGTAGGTATCGCACTTTCAGAGATTCATCTGGCGAAAACATGCTCATCAGAAGAACCCAATAATTTATGATAAATTAGTTACTGCGTAGAACGATGTCACCAGCGTTTATCAAGCTATTATGAAGCTTGAATATAATGCTTAATCTCACATGGATTATGTTGATGGCTAGATTGTTGTTAATCTGTGAAATCCAAAGAACCATAACACAACCCTGATCCAACCTTAATAAGTTTAAATTCTTTTGAGCTGAGTATTAGAGCAAATGTAGGCACAAATATCAGGAGGCATAATTTTTTAAGATGACAAACTATAATCATACTAGGCGAGCAATCGCATGCTCAAAAAAACATTAATTAAAAACTATTCTAATTTCACTCAAATTCACCCAAAATATTAGATTAAGCTCTTCAAACTAACCAGAGATGTCAGATTAAGCAACCCCAGTCTTGCTTTTCCTTGGAGGGTTAAACGTTAATGACCCTTGACCAAAAGGTTAGAACTAATGGTTTCGTAACTTGATTATCATGTTTAAAAAAACTCATTTTTTATTATCCCAACAATACTTATCTACGGACTTAAAGAGTCTCAGGCAAAGATTTTCTCTTTAATTATTAGGTCTTAAGGATCAGAACAAGAGATTTAATCTTTGACAAGTCTGATTCAGGAACCGTATTGCATATAGACGCTAATATACACGAAAATATGCATTCTCATACAATCGAGCAAAAATAACAGAAAGAATATGAAAGAAAATTAACCAAACCATTATATATCGATCTGTCTAGATTTGTAATTTTTAATCTATT